AAATTCACGAGATATTCTCCAGCAGACTAATAACACTCTATTTTATATATAAAAATATTATTGTATATATTGTCTTTGATTCTTAACTCTCTCTTTCACTCTTATTAAAAATATATAATAATTATAGTAGACAATTGATTTTTTTTTAAACATGAAAAAAATATGGGAGAAGGAAAATTTTTTTAAATAAATTATGAAAATCAAACTTCTACTCAACTTAAATCAAATATTAAAATTTGAAGAGGAATTACTACAATCAAATCTGGTTAATAATTTCGTGGCTGATCTGCATATAGCAAAAAATATTTATTTTAATTTAAAAAGAAAATGCAAATACATTTCCACGTGGCACCATCTCAATAATATTGCACTTATGTGGGTCCCTTATCCCACTGAAGAACTGAGACCATTCTCCCTCTATAAAACCCACCTCCATCCGTCAGCCTGCACCACAACCGCTCCTCCTCCTCCTCCTCCTCCTCAACTTCTCTTCATAGTTCCTTCAACTTAGCAACAAACAGTGTAATTACACGCATTTAATCAGAAGAATTCATTCTGATGGGCAACGCTGACTATGATGTCTACACTTCAGCCAGGGTGGAGTCTGGCGCTTACCGCCGTGCAGCAGTCCCTCCGCCGTAGCCATTTTTCAAGTCACTCAAGTATTCTCTCAAGGTAACATTGTTCCCAGACGACCCGCTCAGGCAGTTCAAGAACCACCCTCCGTCAAGGAAGTTAGTCCTCCGCATGCAATATGTCTTTCCCTTCCTTGACTGGGCTCCTCGCTGCAGCTTCCAGTTCTTCAAGGCAGATCTCATCGCCGGAATCACCGTAGCAAGTCTCGCTATCCCTCAGGCATCAGCTACGCCAAGCTTGCCAATTTTGCCACCTATTCTTGGCCTATGTAAGCGCTGACTTGTTACAATTCCTGGCCAACAACTCTTTGCATTGGATCAAAATAAATAAGTAATTGATATATGAATATTATGATTGTAGATTCTAGCTTTGTTCCACCTTTAATTTATGCCATGATGAGGAGCTCGAGGGATTTGGCAGTGGGACTGTTGCCATTGCATCACTTCTTATAGCTTTTATGCTGGGAAAGGAAGTTAATCCCAATGAGAATCCCTATGGGTTTGTCTAATATTTGTCTTTTAAAAATATAAGTTAAGAATATA